TGAGGGGGCCAATCTCACCTCCAGGGGCAAGATATTCCAAAGGGCGGGGGCTACAGCAGAGAAGACCCGTCTTCTGGACCCTGCTAGTTGGAGTTCTTTTGCCAAAGGGGTCTGGAGCATGCCCTCTCTGTGTGATTGGGTGGGACGGGATGAACTTGTGGGGGAGAAGCTGTCCCTCAGGTAACCTGGTCCCATGCCATGTAGGGCTTTAAAGGTGATAACCAACACCTTGAATTGGACCTGGAAGCAAACCGGTACCCAATGCAGCTCGCGAAGCAGTGGTGTTATATGGTTTGTGTTATATGTATTTGTATTATAAATACACAATGGTTCAAGTTAAATACACAATACTACTTATACAGTATTATACAATAATTTAAAGGTGATAACCAACACCTTGAATTGGACCTGGAAGCAAACCGGTACCCAATGCAGCTCGCGAAGCAGTGGTGTTATATGGTTTGTGTTATATGTATTTGTATTATAAATACACAATGGTTCAAGTTAAATACACAATACTACTTATACAGTATTATACAATAATACTGTTCCGGCTTACATACAGATTCAACTTAAGGACAGACCTTGGGAATGGAACTCGTTCTTAAACTGGGGACTACCTGTATACAGCTTTGCCAGCCTAGCCCCCCACCCTGGCCCCATAGCAGATTGGGGAATTCTGCGAGTTGCAGCCCAAACATATACGCAGTGTGTCCTATTGATGCAGTATATTTATACTTCATATATTTGTTGACAGCTCATTTCTGGGGGGAAAAAGCCCTGCTGTTCTTAAAAATAAGTTGCCTAAGGAGGAAGGAAGGTTTTGCTCTCTCATCTCTTCACCCAGGAGCCAACCTGCCTCTACCTGTTGAATTTTTAATGCAAGAAGAGAATTTCATAGAAGTAACTCTGCTGCCAGCAGAACTCCTGTAGGGAGCCATGCCTAAGAAGCCTTTGTAAATAAGGAGTTATTTTATTCTGCTGTTTTATAGGTTATTTATAAAATATTTCTGGCGTTGAAGTGTTTTTTACTCATCTTTGTGCATCCCAGGTCAGAAACTTTTGGATGCTTTTTATCTTCCTACTTCAGCTATGTAGGTTGACATTGATGTATAGGAAAGAAAACTTGAAGTACAAGAGGAGGAGAATCTGGATATTTCAAAGATGAAGGAAACTGCAGCCAAGCAGTGACTTTAAATTGAAGAGGTCTATCAAGTGATCCAAGAAATCACATGTAATGGACAGTTTTAACTGAATTTAAATAAAACTGTGTGCTATTCAACCCTTAATTTTGGCCCATAGGTACAAATAGAATAGAAGGCAGCCTTAGGCCAGATCAGATCGGTTATCCATCTGCTTTGGATGCAGTTCAGGTTTTTAACCTGACCTCCCTCTATGATGGTAAATGAGCCCTTCCATTACGCAGTGGTAAAAAGCACTATTTATCCTCATGTCAGAGACAAAGAACTTGAGAGTAGTTCAATACCTCTGAAGAAGTCTTTAGGAAGATAGCATATTATAGCTAGGCTTGCGTAGGTGGTGATTATGGCACCATCAGGAAAAGTAATAGAAGTGGAAAGAGAATAGCATTTTTTAAAAAGTCTTCAGCTTTAAATTAGTGGTTTTCAAACCATTTGCCATGTAGGAAAGCCTTTCTAGATTAATTGGCCTGTCAAATCAAATAACCTCTTCAAGTCACAGTCTATTCCTAGGATGGCTGATCTGGCCTTTCAGGTTGATCATTATCCTCAGGGAATTGGGGCTGTCAGTGATGAGCAGGGCTTTGGGTGCTCTTGTCCAAAGTATTTTCAGGGGGACCTCTTTGTAAAAGGGGTAGGGCATGCCGGTTAAGAGTTCTTGCAGGCTTCCTGCTAACCTTTTGTAGGCTGTATGAAAAAGAATAAGCCTCTTCAACAGTTTTCAGAGCAGAGCACATAGCCTGTCTGAGCAGTCTGTGAAACTGCTTTGAAGATGAGACTCAAGATCAGTTGCATGGAATATTTTTCTGTTGCAGCACATGAAGCCCATGGAGTTATGAAGCCCCTGAAAACCTTGCTTGGACACATCCCTTGGTGATTCTATTATTCTATGACTATAACTTAGTATTTCCATGCATGCTGGAAGTTCTAGAAGTTGTAATCCCAACATATTTGGATGATATCATTTGTTGGGGGAGATGGGCGGCATACAAATTTAATAATATCAGATTAAGATAGGCTAGTGTGGGGCTAAAAGAGCAGTCACAGAACAGAGGTTCATTTTAGTACCAAATTCAAATATAGACCAATTCCCTTACAAGATGTTATACAAATAAATGTGGCTACTTTTGCTGAAGGAAGCAAGTGAAGCAACATACCAATTACAGTATTGTCACAATATGGAAATCGATTTTCCTTTTTTGAATAAAGACCTTTTTCAGCCTCATGTCCTCCAGGTGTACTGGATTACAATTTTCACATTCCCTCAGTCATCATAGCCAAAGATCTCTTTTTACAAGGTAGCCCATTTATTGATTTATGTGTCCCCTTTGTGTATGAGTTGCCAAGCTTGGGCTGGGTGTTGATGTGATTCTGACTTGGTTCATGGAGGATGCTCTGAGGCCATGATTAAAGAAACATGGTTTAGATCCAATAATTTCTCATAACTCTTGCCCAGTTCAGTTTCTTGAGAAAGTTGATGGACAATGTAATGATGGACAACCACTCCATGTGGAATTAGATAATGCTAATTAGATCCAATCCAATCTGGCTTATGATCTGATTTGGGAATGGAAGCAGACTTGGTCTTGGTGATGTGTGGCTTATCCTGAGGAAAGCATATGACCCTAGTATCTTTTGGTTGCTTTCAATACTATCAACTGTGGGGAATCTGTGTCCTCCTAGATGTTACTGAATTACAGTTTCCAGCAGTCCTGCTCAACCTATCTGATAATAAGAGAGGCTGGGAACTATAATTCAGCAACATTTGGAAGGCAACAGGTTCATAATCCTGCTTTTAACCATGATATTTGTTCTGAATTAGTTATCAGGACTTGGGTGGAATAATATGGGGATTCCAATTCTTTATGGAAGAATGGTCTCAGAAGTTGGTGCTAGTGGATTTCTGTTGTAGCCATTTCTATAGGTAGCTTTTCTTACCTGTTGCTCTCTAGACATGTTGGACCATTCTGGCTGGAAATTCTGAAAGTTGAAATTCCAGCAAATCTGGAAGGGACCGGGTAGTCTAAGAGGTATCACAATGCTCCACCTTTGTATCATCTACATTAATTTTCTGGAAGAAGGCATCTAGAATTTGGGCTCTGGAATCATCAGATGCTTGAGTCATAAAAGTTTGCAAGTGTTGAGCCAGTTCTTTTTGAAGTATTCTGAAAGTCAGATAACATTGATTCCAGCCTGGCTTCCCAGGGTAATGCATTCCAAAACTGGGGTGCCATAATTTTCTATCCCACAAGCGACACTTCTTCCATTTGCAGGATGCTGAGCAGGACCTGTGCAGATCTTAACATTTGGGCAGATATAGGCTGGGAGATGTGTTCCCTAAAGTATTCAGGTTCTAAGCCATTAATTTTTTGATACAGATATTGGTTTCTCCCTTATTTCTAATGTTTTCCATAATGCTACAGAACTGTAGAATTAGTTAATGCACAATAAGAAAAAGCATGAAAGAGCATGAAAATATTATATTTTTCTTCCAGA